AAAAAAAAAAAAAAAAAAAAAAAAAAGACAGAGAAAAAAAGAGACACAGCAGCTTCCACCTGGTTCTCTCAGAACTCATGTAAGAAGTCTGTCTACCCTGAGATTGCTGTTTTACAGCAGGCTTTCTCATCCTTAGCTCTATCTGTTGACATTAGGCTCTGAGGACACCTCGTTGCAGGAGACTGCCATTTGCATTACAGGATGTTTAGCAGAAACCATAGGGTCCGTCTCCCCAATGCAAATAGCATCCTTAGTTTTTGACAGATAAAAAATGTCCCTTTGGGAGCAAAATCAGCCCTGGTTGGGACCACTGCTTTAGAGGCATGGGGCAGGTACTCTGACAGCCAGCTGGGTTCCAGCCCACAACCAGCATGAGCTGCCAGTCAGTCATAGGACTGAGCCATTCCCGACGGATGTGCAGCCCAGCTGGGCCTTGGCATGACAGCAGCCCAGCCAGGTCTCACTGCTCCAGTCTAAGAAACCAACAGCAAGTGCTGCCCAGTGGAGCACTCCCAAATTCCTGATTCCCCACAAAACGGATGAAACAAAACCATCCTTGTTTTATACCATTTTTTTTTTAGGTAATTGGATACCCAGCAGAAGTTTCCAAAATAGCTTCCCTACTCACTTAATTAGCATCTTCTTCTCACCCTAGATATGCTATAAACCCGAGGTGTGACTTTGCACAGACTATAACTGATGGAAGGCCTGAGGGTCACAGTTTAATCCCTGGGATTTACAACTATGTGCAGGAGTGATGGACACACGGGATCAGACACATTTGAGTTGGGGTCTTGGCTCTCCCAAGTACTGTCCTGAACAAGTCACATCACTAATCTGAAACTTAGACTCTTCATCTGTAAAACAGCGATAATGTCATAGGAGTTATTGTGAGGATTTATGAAAGTGAAATCAAATAAGGCTGGGCTACATCTTGCCTTCTCAGTGCAACGCTGTGATAATAAAGTCATAGAATGTGATACCCACAAAGTGGTAAAGGCCAGAGCAGAATTTAATAAGGTGAATGTGCCTCCCCAAGGGGAAAATTGGCCCAGACTTTCTCCCTTCCATCCACCTCACCAGCCTTCCTTTCGTCATGGCAGTGGCTCCCTGCAGAATTTTCTTCTTTCTACATCTGGCAAATTTCAGCCTTCCTGTCACCTTTCTTCCCTCCATATCAATCATTTGGAAGGATGTTAGGTTTTCTCATACGAGGAGCTCAATTTCTCTGGATAACGATGTAGAATGTCTCCCTGCTGGGCAGTGTCATCAAGAGACAGCAAATATAGCACAGGGGACATATAAAGCATGCTTACTGAGTGTCAAGCACAGCAGGAGTCAGCATCCAAATGGAATGTGTCACACTGAGTCTGGAGGCCTCAGTGCCATTACTCTCCTCCTCTCCTTGTTTATTGCCTCTTGGTTAGAGACGTAGCCTTCCATCAAACGGTCATGAACCCACTGGCTAGGGAGCTGGTGAGTGGTCTGTTTTGCCTGCTTGCCCACCAGTCCTTCTTTCCCACTTAGTTGATGCTCGTTGGAGAGTTTGAGCACTGCTGGGCAAGGATTCACTGTCCGGGGACAAAAGCAGGATCCAAGAGTGTGCTCTGCATTTTAAACACTCTGCAACAAGAGTAAGAGCAAAGCCACGTCCAGCCTGCCTGCCAGGATTTCAGGCTATAGAACTGAGGGTATGGAGCTCTGGCACAGCCCTGTTACACTGTGTCCCCAAACCTCCGGGAGAAGAGGTCAGTCAATGTCTACAAATTCCTCATTCTTGGCTTGGCAGGAGGTTACTGATGGGCCCATTTCCACAGGGACCAAGTGGCCTCATGGGGAACTAGCAAAGATCACTGCTCTTGCCAACACAAGTCCAACTGGAAAGACAGATAATCATGACTCTGTTGAGGTCCCACAAGCTGCCTTAGAAAGGATCTATTATGTTTTTCCAAAGCCACAGGCACAGACAACTAGCAAAGTTCAAGAACCACTCAACCAGTAGCACTAACCTAGTAGTGATAGTGATAATCATATCATGAGTATTATTCTCTTTGTAGAACTTTTCTATGTGTGCTATCTGTGTAAGCTAATGTATACATAAAAATGGAACCATATAGCACATACCAGAGTGTAATTTTGATATCATTTTACTTAATTGCATCAATATTTTCTGCACCATTTTTAATACACATTCTCTGATTTGCATGTATCAAAACTATTTCCATATTGTGGGGCAGCTAAGATTTTTTTCTAAAAATTTCCCTATTGCAAATAATAAATAAATATACTTACTGCTAAATATCTATAGGCATCTGTAAGTATTTTTTTTTTGGATAAATTCCTGCAAATGGAATTTCTAAAGGAATAAGCCATTTTAGCACTCTGAGAGGTATGGTCAGACCTGGTCTGAAAGACTCAAAGGCATTTCTACCCTTGCTGCCCTAAGTACAACAGAGGTCCTACTGCACAGATGCAGAATTCCACACTGTCTCAACTCAGAAG